ATTTTTTTCTTTTAAAAAGCAAATAGTCTAATTTAAATATATTATAAAACATCTTATCATTGTTTACCAAATAATAGCGACTGAAATTCTTCAGTATAATATACATATTTGCATTCCGTCTGAATTAGGTTTGACACTCACTTTAAAACAAATTGCTAAAAACGGCATGGAATCCCAATGAAGATTTCAAATATCAAAGAATTTACATATAAATAATAGTTAATTTCCAATATTATTATTTTCATTAAAGTTCTTAGATTATCTCTTACTCAGGTTTGAACTAATTAAATGCAGTATTCAGATCAATAATCGAAGAAAAAAATTGAGTTTTAAGGGCACACCTAGTGTGAAATTTAAAAAAAAAAACATCTTTTTCCATATTTCGGTAGATTACATCTTTAAAAATAACATATTAAAATTTCAAATCGATATCTCAAATAGTTTTTGAGTTATAGCAATTTAAAGAGCAGCCGCTCGGCAGCCAGAGAGTCTCATTAGCTACGAGTGAAAACGATCATTTTATCTTTAAACGCGTTTTTCTCGAAACAGCATTTTCCGAATTTGCTGCAGTGATTACTCAAAAACAAATGATTCGATCACTATCGATTTTTTTTTACATGTTCTTCGTACAATGTCCTATCGATTTTTGATCTGATCAAAAAATCGAATTTTTTCAGGCCAAAAACGCCCAAAATTTTGGGTAAAATTCGACTTTTTTTAAAACGCCGCCATATTGTCAATTTTTGACTTTTTTATGGTATGCCATTGTACAGACAATATTATCTAGTTTAAGGAGAATTTCTTTTTTTTAGATTTTAATTTAGATTAGTTTTTTCTTTTTTTAAGCCCCAGAAACACGAAAATTCATTCTAGTAGTCTAGAATATACAATATATATTTAAAGGTTACTCTCTGATGACTCCCTTCAATATTGCATTTTTTTAAACACCCAACCTGCAAAAGAACGCCTAGCTGACTTATTTTCAACTAGCTTATAATTCCCGTTTACTTTACAACACTGTTGTTAAAGTATGTGTTTGCATGTGTTTAATATTTAAAGAAAAAGCAAAAAAGGAAAAAAACGAGTACTTTTTAAGAATCTTTAACATTCAAATATATTTAGTTGAAAATAGTAATTAACATGAGCTGAGAGTGCTCTTTTTATACAGGTTGCGTTAATATGCAGTGGTGAGCTTCTTGAATTAGATCAGAAATCGGAAGATTATAACATAAAGCTCCCATACATCGCATTGCTCAGAAATGTGGTCAAAAACAAAAACATCTAACACGTATATTCAAATAAGTATTGATACTTAAAATTATCGATATCAGAGGACTATATCTAATAGCCTCCTCCCAACAATTGTTCAGATATGAGAACTAATATTTAATCCTAAAACGAAATACCATTCTTTCCTGTTTAAATTGTCGTCACCTCTCGGAAAGGAATATCAGACCTCCGGCCAGTATCGAAGAAAAAATTACCTACGACTGATATTATGAACTCCTGTACCCTTAATTATCGTTAAAAATGTAAGCAAAACACGTAGAAATTAAGGAGATTCATTTTTTGTTTATAATCGGATTGAACTTAGCAAAAGATTTCCACTATTGAAATTTTGTGCGTGAAAAACGTGGAGTACGAAAATATTTTTTGCGACACAACATAAAAGCAACTGTCCCAGTTTCCCTTAGATGATGACGTAAGTACTGTTATTTGTGGATGTTTTTAAGCGCGTATTTTGAACCTTATCATGAATAACAGCGAAATCTCAAAGCAAGTCATGAAAAAGTGGTAATGCCTGAAACGAAATCACAGACACTTATGGAATTAAAAAAAAAAGAGTCAAGAAAAATCGGCATCAAGCGAACTTAAGGCCCATAAGATAAAAGTAAGCTAACGAACAAAACAAAGAAGAGCCCGAGCACTGACGTCAACTGATCAGTAAAATAAGGGAACACCGTATTTTTTGTGATAAATAAAACTAATTTCGAAATGCTCGGATGGATTGAGTAGATTTCGCCAATCAAAGAAAAGGAGCTTAGATCCTCGATACTATATCGGTGCTGTTAAGCATGTAAGGATATTCTTATAAGCATAATATTTCCCCATGCCGAGTACGAGAATACGCTACTTTCGTGGTATTTTCAACAAGATTAAGACCCAAAACACAAGTCGAAACTAGTAGCAAGAAACTATTTGAAGCTGCAAAAGTATTCCACAGGAAGTCATTAGCAAACTGATATTTTCCTTGAGAGGTCGCTATAAAATATTCAGTCTGTGCCAATTGCCGTGGGATAAGCCAACTTAATATCGCATATACTCGTAAGGTCCCTTCGAGCGTATTGTGTGAAAGACTAAAGCCCACCGTCAACAAACTGATTGTTGTTGTATTCAACATGCGTCAATTCGTGGAAAAGACCTGTGAAAAGTGGATCGAAACCCAGTACCTCTTTATCGATTTTAAAGCAGCCTCCGGCAGCACGTAGAGAAGCTGTCTCTATATTTGAATAAGGTTTGTCTCCGGCTATGTAAACCTGTAAGCAACACTTTACGTGAACAACCCCTGCGGGTTAGGGGCTCAAGAATTTACCCGCGGTAAGGCATGCCTGTCGTAAGAGGCGACTAAAATCCAATAGTTCCCGCGACAGTCGGGTCTTTATACCGGAACGACCCGGATTTTTATCCGGCCAATTACTGTCACTCCCGCAATATTCCCCAAAAAGTATTTTGGGGAATAATTTTGCGGTTACAACAACAACAACAACAACAACTTTACGTGAACGAGGGCATGACGAAATATCAGCTGTAATCAAACAAAATCGTCGCATTCGCGGCTTACACTTTACTATTATAACTTTGAAATCGTAGAAAGCTTCCTACTATTTTGAAACCATTTTTAACACCAACAGGTGTTACCTCTCTCTACTAACGAAGACCAAACTCTAGAAGACTATCATCGTTCCCACCTTGCTATATGGTGGGGTCGATAAAAACATCTGATGAGTCGCCGTTAGCAGTTTTCGATAGAAAGCTTTTACGTAAGATTTATGGTCCTCTACGAGATGGGAGCGGCGAGTAGCGCAGCCATTGAAACGATATACACGTATGTATGGCATATAACGCAAAGTATGGATAGATAAGAATACTCCAGCTGTGAAAGCTTTCGCTACAGAACCCGCCAGTGAAAGCAGAGAAAGAGGACCATCTCCACTTTGTTTGAAAGAACAGGTAGAGAAGGGCTTGGCTGTACTTGGTATTTCCAATTGGCGCCAAACTGAGAAAAGAAGAAAAGATTACCGTTGTGTTGTTAAGCGGTGTCTACGCCTGTAAAGAAGATGATTCGGATGCTTATTATATGGACATGATTAAATAAAGCAAACGCGGAGAATATCCTATGATGGCATTTCTGAAGTGCTGTGAGAAAATTGAGAGAAATCTAGATAAACTCTCTTCTCTTTAATTCAAAAAGATATCAATTGAAGAAATTTTATAAAAACTTGCCAGTGTGACGTCAAAAATTTGGCATACATACCCGCGTATTGTGAATGTAGATATGTACGTATAGCATATATGTACATATATAGTACATCTGTTTGTATATTTGAAAGCTAAGAGCAGGAATAAATATTCGTTTGGAGTAGGTTAAGAATTCCAAATAACGAACAAAAAAATACCTTTCAAGACTTTTATCAAAGTAGGTACCAACATGTTTATATATGTACATACATATATACAATTTAGATTACAAAGACAATTTGCAACGCAATCGTCATATTGTGGGTAACTCACGTCAATAAATACCGTTTTATTAATGACAGATAAGTCAATCTCTATCGAAATAAAAGAATAAATATGTATATCTGTATGTCTAGTATATACATTTACCTATGTATGTATTTGATATCACAAGATTATGCAGAAAAAATACAAATATTTAACACTTTTTACAAAAACAATAATGATAAAATCATGTCGGTATGCGCCAAATTGCACGGATGCCACGGCAAAAAGCAAATAAAATCGAAAAAAAAATCTCAACCCAGCTGAAATACAAATAGGAAATTCTGCTCTTACTTCTCTCTGTTCTTACCGCTCTCTGATCTCTTGATTTGAGTAGTTTTCTTTTTCTTACAAAATCAAGAGTTTTTAAGAGCGAGCGAAGTTTGAAAATTCACCACGATTCATTGTATCTTTATATTTTGTATGCATGCAATTATGTTTAACGTTTGTAAATACATTTATTTATTGGAATGTAAGGAGCATGTACACACATACATACATTAATGCTTCAATAACGCTACTCATACGTGGAGCAAAGTGTTTTGGGTATTGAGCAGCCATGTGACAATAGAGATAAGAGAACCCTATTGTCGACTTCGCACACCATTGTTGCAGTGGTGGAATAGGTAGGCAATCGTCGTGCTCGTGCCATGTCGTGGCAGAAATTTCAAGAGTTGTGAGCGAGTGGAACCGGCTTTAAATAAACACATTCTGGCCTAGCGAGCTGGTATTCGCCATTTAGGTCTCTTGCAGAGCAGAAGTGAATTTTGGAATTAAGCGGAATATAAAGTATATCTTGCGATAATTTACGAGAATTAGGAGGAATTTTCAAAGTTGATTTTTTGATATTTATCAAACAAAAACAAAAAAGAAACTAAGAAAATTTTAATATAAAATTGTTGAGCTCAATTTTAATTGAAGTATTTGGAAATAAATCAAACCAACCCACTGTATAAAAACAATAACAACCAAAGTGCATTTTAGTGATACGAAATTAAAGAATTTTTTTTGTAACCGAATAAAAATAAAATTACTGAAATAGTAACGTATTAGAAATCAGGCTGTAAAATAAAGAAATAATTTAATGAAAAACTGCGTGAGACACGCAACGAATTGCAATTTTTTTTACAAACAACAACAACCACAGTAAAATTGTGAAAACTCACCTAGCGAAAATTTAATTTCATACAAAAAAAAAAACCATAAATAAATAGTGAAAGTCTCAAAAAGCGTACTGAAAAAACCAACAACAACAACAACAAAGTAAATAAATAGCAGAAAAATAAGTTTTTCGCTGCACTTTTTACGCGCTTTTTCTCGTTGCAAATTCGAAATACATATTGGGTGCAGCAAATTGTTGTTGTCTACGTTTAACAACACTCCACAACACTGACCACCATAGAATTGGTGCCATTTTCACAACAACAAAGCGTACTAATAACAAACGCAGTGGTAGCGAAAAAAAGAGGTGGGTCCACGAAGAAGACGACGACAACAACGACAATAACAGCCTTAAAATGACAAGTGCAACAAATATAAATCGTTCAAATAGTTTTGTGAATGCGCTCAAATGGTGGCCACTCCAGGGTCATAACCATCAATCGAATAATGCAACACATGGAAATGCTGCTAGTGGTGGCGGTGGAGGTGTTGCTGGTGGCGGCGGCGGTGGCGGCTGCGTCAGCGCTGGCCCTAGCACCGCCAGTGGCTTGAGTTTATTAGGGCATTTGCACAGTAAGACGACGACATTTGGCAGCTCAGTAGCAGTGCAAAAGCTGCGCGAATCCAAATGGTTCAAACGTGATGAACAGCGTATTTTCTGTGCTGTCGTCGAGTGTGGTTTCATCGTGGAGGTGCGCAGTAGCAGCAGCAGCAACAACAAAACTCCACTAAACAAACGTACAATGCGTAGTAATAGTAGTGGCAGTGGTGGTAGTGGCGTCGATGAGTATGATATCGATGAGAATGATTTGGAGGATGAGGATGAGGATGCGTTGCAGATGCAAATACGGGCGCAGGATGAGAATGAAACGCCAATGACGTCATGGTTCGGCATTGTATTGTGTAAAACGGCAAAAGGTGAGTAAACGTACGAAGGACATTCGTGCCATATGTTAAAGGTTTGTGTTGTATGTATAGCATGTACATAAGCATGTATGTATGGATGTTTATATGAGGAGGTATGAACTAGGCTCGTTCGGTGCCTATTTTCTATACTTATGAATGTAAGTATGTATATGTGCAAGTGTGCTGATATCGCAGCATTCGAGGAGGGCAAGATTATGGGGCGTTGTGTGGCACAAATGGTTGGCCCATCGTGCTTGTCATGTTGTTTGCACATATTACATTTGCGTGTACATATGTATGTATGTGTGTATGTATATGAAAGCTTGTTATATACACAGCTTATACGGTTTTTAGGTCAGATTAAATGCAGGGCCAATGTACAACGGTAAAAGATAGATTAATTTTTTATGTATAATTAAAACAAACCAGATTTATGTTAGTGCATTAATATAAAAGGCTATATCCACAATATACATACATATATACTTTTAAGTAAGTATAGAAATGAGCTTAGTATTGATAAAATTTAAAGATCATTAACGTATATAAAAAATATTATATTTATTTTTGAAACTGATTATCGAACTTTAGCACAAAAAGCTATTTTTTCAAATTAAAAAAAAAAATTTGTATTTATGTAAAATTATTTTGGGTTTAGTTAGAGTATTTTTTAACTGAAAAACTGTAAAAAAATGTAAGCAAAAAAATTGCAAAAAAAAATATTCTTTTTATAAAACATATGTATTTAAATGAGTCACTAAAATTGCGGTAAATATTCTAAAGAGAAATTCTGACTATTTTCATTGATTTAACAGCTAAATTATAATACTCATTCTATGACGCTGGAAATTAAAGTTTATGCATATACAAGTATTTACATATGTATATGTACATATGTACATATGTATATGTAATCTTGTAGTAGTATTTCAATATTTGAGATTAGAAACAATTTGATTAGATAATGTGTCTTGATCATATATATTTTCATCATTATTGTAGTTATTTGCGTATGTATATACATATATATGTATGTAAATATGTATATTGCACGTGACACAGCGAATATTATTTTTTATATGTATGTATGTAAATCGCAGTATCTTCAAGATGCTGATAAAAAAATTATATTTATCTACGAAACCTTGAAATTAATTATACGTAAATTGTTGAAAGTAAAAATGTGTTATCAATGTGATTGTAATTATGCAGGTGAGGCGGGGTATTGGCTTTGGAAGCATTTTTTTTTTTGTTTTTACTTAAAAATAAAGTTCATCGAAATTCGCTAAAATTCAAGAAAAAATTATTATAAAACCACCTAGTAATCAAACCAAATCTTAATCTTTACAAATGTATGTAAGCATATGCATATATATTAGGTAAAAATCTTCTATTGTCAAATTCTGTTAATTTACTTGCTATTAACATGTATTTTCACAGCTATTAAGCAATAATGTATTTCTCACTTGAAAAAGTCAACACCCTTTGGCAGTAGGCACGCGTTTCAGTTAAGCACAAAGCAATATCATCGAATTTACGATGTTTGAAAACGCCATTATTGGCAATTTATTTTGCAATTAGAATTAATTTTGTCGATATGCATACGAATTCAAATGAAGAAGCTAATAAACAAATAAAAAATAATAATTAAATAAGTTTATTAATGTGCCCGCTATTTTTTGAACTCACGTGACATTTGAAAAGCAATAAATATTTATAAATAGAAGTGTTTTGAAAAACTAAAAATAAATGCCGTACGACATTTTCTTCCTACATTGTACATACATACATATGTATATGCATTTAATATAATACTTGTGTTAATTATCTCGTTAAATACATAATTTTTAGTTGCTGGTATTTAATATTTTCTGTAACGAAAGTAAATTTTAACTATTTACTATTTATTCATAGTTTATTTTATTTATGGTGACTGTTTTGTCAGTAAGCAGGTGTTCATTTTCACACAATTTTGTTGTTGTTAGTGTTATAACCTGAAAATGTGTTACATTTTGCTTGTACTATATTTTTTTAGAAGGAATATAGAACTTCAAAGGGTTTGACGTTATTTATTTCATTTGAAACCTTTTTTGTACTCATTAAATTTTTTTTAATTTATTTTATTTTACATATTTTTGCTTTATTTTTTTTTCGTTTTGTTTTATTGTATTTTATTTCATTTTACTTTACTTTACATTATTTAATTTATTTTAATTCATATTAATTTATTTTACTTTCTTTTATTTTATTTTATTTTGCCTTATTTTATTTAACTTTATTTTATTTTAGTTTATTTTATTCTATTCTATTTTATTTGTTCTATTTTATTTATTTTATTTTATTTATTCCNTTTTTTTTTTTTTTATTTTATTTTCTATTTCATTTTACTTTATTAAGTTTTAATATATTATTTTATGTAATTTAATTATTATTATTTTTTATCAATATTTCACATTATATAATTTTAATTTTTTTAATTTATATTAAATTTTTAAATTTTACTTTAAATTTATTATATTTTTTAGTAATAATAATTATTACCGATAAATTAGCGCATAACTTTTTTATTTATTTATTTTTTTTCATTTTTGATTTAGTTTTATTTAATTGCTTGTTGTAGTCTATTTCATTTTTTATTTTGTTTTATTATTTTATTTTTATTTATTTATTGTTTATTTTTATTTTATATCAATATTTCGTTTTAAATAATTTTACTTTTTTGTTTTATTTTAAATTAGTTTATTTTACTTAGTTTTTATATTGTTTTTTTTTTTTTCTTTCTAGTAATATTAATTACAATTAACATTTTATTACCGAAATATTAGTAGTGGCGCGTAGTACAAAAACGATTATGAATGAGTTGGAAAGTATTCAAATAAAGTGTTAGCTTTATAAATGAAAAAAAAATGAAGCAATTATTTGTAAGGCCCCTAAAATTAGTTATGAGCCATTGTTGTTACCTTGGACTAACATTTAATCTATTCACTATTCGTTTCCAAATAAAAATAGTAATAATGAAACAAATCGCCTAAAAATAACAAATGAAAAATATATGCAAAAGAGTAATAAATTAAATCAATATATAAATGATTTGCAGAGTTTAGCGAAATTTCACAGTTGCAGCTATGCATATGCTGCATACATACATACATATCTATATACATACAGACGAACAATCGCACATACCTGATTACTCATTATAATGTGTTGTTCATACATCTTCAGAACGAACTAATCTAATCACCTGTCGCAGAAGCAATAAAACATAGCTTTATATACACAAAAATAAACTGCTGCAATTTCAATTTAATTATTGAAATCTTATACTGTCAAGTAGGTAAATACAAACCGTAATAATACGCATTGTCCCACCACAATTGGTAATAAATAAATATATTCAACTACACAATGACCCAATGGGTAGATAAATAAAGCGAAAAAACACACGCTGCAGGCAAGACGAATCTTCTAGAAACGCCGACGCGAAGCACTGAATACTGAACGGGCATGAACGACGTGCCACTCGGCACACTTCACACTGACGCTCGGTATATTTAAGATTTGTTTGAGGTTATTTGAAAGTAAAATAATAATATAAACCGAATTTATAGCAAAAGTGTACAAAGAGAGAATGTCAGTCGTTAATGGCATAGAGCTTGCTGGTAAAAAGAAAGAAGTTTTAACAAGAAATTCATTAATAAGAAACAATATATATATATATGTATATATACAATATGTATATATGTACTTTTGTAAATAAAATAAAAAACATAAGAATAAATAGAAAATAAAAAACATATATAGAAATCAAAATAAAATTAATTTTTAAATAAAAAAGAACTAAAAATTTAGTAATAAAAAAAAATAAAAATTAAAATAATGAACTAATTTTAAATTTAACGTTAAAAAAAAATTAAACAACATAATTAATGTATGTAATCATAGAAATTTAAATAAAAAATTGAGAAAAATTCGAATATGCCCTTCCAGCTCAAAAATTTTACTTACATAAATAAAATAACCAAAAAAATATAACATATAAATTGAAATAATGAATTAAATAAAAAATAAAAAAATAAAGTAATAAAAATAAAATAAGATAATGATAAAAATAGTAATAATGAAAAAATAATAATAAAAAAATAATAATAAAAAAATAATAATAAAAAAATAATAATAAAAAAATAATAATAAAAAAATAAAAAAAAATTAAAAAAAAAAATTAAAAAAAAAATTAAAAAAAAAATTAAAAAAAAAAATTAAAAAAAAAAATAAAAAAAATAATAAAAAATAATAATAAATAACAATAAATAACAATAAATAACAATAATAAAAAAATAATAATAAAAAATAATAATAAAAAATAATAACAATAAAAAATAATAACAATAAAAAATAATAATAAAAAATAATAATAATAAAAAATAAAAATTTAAATAAAAATAAATTAATAAAATTTCAATAAAAATAAATAAATAAAATTTCAATAAAAAAAACTAAAAGAAATTCAAAAATACATTCCTAGCTAAAACAATTCTACTTCTAACGGTTTTTAAAGTTTATTAATAGCTAATTTGGTAAGTGATTACATCAAAAAAAAAAAGTGGCGCCGTGAAAATAAAAAGCACAAGACATGAATGTCGCATTCCTCGTCGCCGTCTACAAGCCACAATAATTAGTCCGGTTTCTATTCACACTCCGACTTGGTTAGCTAGTCAGACATGCAGCTAGATTTGCGGTTAAAATGAACAGCAGAAAACGGTATATTGGCAGGCAGGCAGGCAAGCAAACAAGCAGGCAAGCAAGCAAGCAAACAAGAGCTTGTGTCGGATCAGTTGGCCGGTCATTCATTTCATGATTTCCCACATTTGCCCAATGTACATGTACATACATATGTACCTACGAGTATATGTGCGTGAGTGTATCTCACGGCGCCTTATAAAGTTTTATTTTTATTTTCATAACTATTTGATTGCTTGTTTTTAGCATACTTGTTTTCTCTATGTACATAT